GGAGAGAGGCCGGGACGTCGCTCTCGGCTCGTCCTGCGTCGATGGTGAAACGAAGTCCTGGGTCTTCTCAATTTTTATTTCGTCCGCGCGGGCGTGAATTTATTCGAGTTCGGGTCGCTGATTTATGCGCGAGGGGTCATAAAATTAGGCGGTTAGCACCGGACATATGGTGCTAGATGAGTACCGGCTGCTCTTCCGCACTAGCATACAGCGTATTGCAAGTAAGCGAAGTTTTCCTTTTCTAAGCGGGTTTTATACTCGCTTTAACTCAACCCACGGCCGGCAATCCGAAAGAGAATGTTTCAGGTGAATACTTTTTGTCAGCTGTTCGTTGAGGGGTTGGGAAAGAGTACATGTGCTGCGTGGCGTGCGTGCTGCGTGCGTTAGGCGTAGTTTGTGGTCTACCGTGAACATCGCTCCACACGCTGCTTTTGATGCGTAATCTTCTACCATGTACTTCGGCCGCGGAACGCCAAACTGCAACTTGATATCTAACGACATTAATATTTCAGGCTGTAAACAGCTATAGTCTCGCCAGGGGACAGCCGCCCCTTGATGCCATTACCGTAGTCGTTAATGCATCGAACGCGCAATCACTCGCTGAAATATGGCGGGGTTGCCATTCATACGCCAGAACACATGATATAGAGCAGACCGGCACACAGCAGAAGATATAAGACGATAACTTTGTCTCTAGTTCTTAGATTTCTTATTAGCTTACTCAACAGCGTTTTTTAGAACGTAATTATGGAAGCTATGATACAATCAACAACTTCGCCGGTAGTTACCGTTGTCCCGCATATCGAAAACCCGAACTGAACGCCGCACACAGCGGTGCGTGATATTGTAAGCATGCAGATATTGCTTGTCAGTATGAGTTTGTGTGTGGTGCGTGTGCGTGCGTGCTGTGCGCTTGCCCGTGCGTGCGTGCGTGCGTGCGTGCGTGTGTGGTGTGTGTGTGTTTGTGTGTGTGTGTGTGATTGTGTGTTGTGTGTTTGTGTGTGTGGTGTGTGTGTGTGTGTGTGTGTGTGTGGTGTGTATGTGTGAGTGTGTGTGTGTGTGTGTGTGTGTGTTTGTGTTGGAGTGCGTTGAGGTGGAAACCAATTGATTCAAAACAGTACACAGTTATGTTTACATGTATAGAATGTAATTTCACGTTTGAAAGTTGCCGTTGAAATGCGTGTACTGTGTAGTCATATTATGTAAAATAATGCACATTTTGTACCTTCGTCTATCTACACGCTTAACCAGTTTCGTCGTCGTGATAGACGTAGAATATAGTTTTCAGAATGTCATAAAATACTGGCTAAAATCGTCCTACCATAGCACTACCAGAACACGTTGCTATAAACATATACGTTAACGTTTTTATCGGTAACTCATATAGTTGCTAAACTAATGGTCGATGGCTGGTAAAGCTAGCTGTCCGTCTTTACAAGGTGCATTTCTTACTTAGCTGTACAGGCTGTGGTTGAAATATTCAAAGTATATATTATTTAATTCCAGTCACTTACTCAATACCGACACCATAGCCATCTGGCGACGCTGACGACATAAAAAATAATAATCATTGGATCATTACCATTACGCGTCTCACCATTTTGGTTTGTACTGCCTTTTTTAGTTTCAGTTCTTCATGCAATATCTAGACTTTCATGGCGGATGGAGAGCCTGATGGACGGATAGATTAGTCGAACGAACGTGTGCGCTTAAAATTCTTGTTAATTAAAACAAAAGATACCATGCGATCGTACCCATAATTTACTGTATCATGGCGGCACTCTGAAATAACAGCACTCGGCAGTTAGATGCGATATTGTATGACTACTAGGCACTTTAATTTAATTTAATTTTTTTTTTTTAATTAATTTCCG